CTCTTTTTTTAAAAATATTTATTATTTTTATTTTATGTGTATGAGTGCATTGCCTGCATGTATGTGAGTGCACCCATGTCATGCAATGTCTCCGAGGTCAGAAGAGGGCTTCAGATTCCCCTGGAACTGGAGTTAAGGACGGTTCGTAGCTGCCATGTGGGTGCTGGGAATCGAAGCCGGGTCCTCTGCAAGAGCAGTCAGTGCTCTTAACCGCTGAGCCATCTCTCCAGCCCCCAAGAGTGTCACTCTTAAACAATACTGACTTTCCCCTTCCCAGTTGCTGTCGGTTCCCAACAGTTCCTCAAGTAGGATAGGATTTCTTACCCACTTCCCCATGTCCATGTTGGGATTTTGCCTGGCTTAAGCTTGCATGGGACTTGTACATGCTGTCATCTTTTCAGTGAGTTCATATGTGTAAACGCCCAGCTGTCTGGAATCGTACAATGTATTTTGAACATGTTCATCTCTCCCACTCCTCCCCCTGACTCCTCCACATTCTTCCCCACCTCCCCACCCCATCCCCCAACTTCATGGCGTCTTCTTGAAAAATCCTTAACTCTTTTTTAAAGATTTAGTTATGTATATATGTGTAGGTCTGTGTGTGGATGTGTGCATGTGAGTGCCAGTGTTCACTAAGGCCAGAGGTGTTCGATCCCCGGAGCTGGAGTTGCAGACAGTTGTGAGCTTCCAGATGTGGGTGCTGGGACCCGAACTCGGATCCTCTGCAAGAGCAGTACATGCCCTTAGCCACTGAGCCACCTCTCCAGCCCTAGATCCTAACTCTTGTAGGAACGCCAGGCCCTGAAAGGGGAGGTGATGAGGAACGGGGCCTCCAGGTTCTCAGCCCAGGACTTCTGGGGAGGAGCCTGCAGGAAGGACTGGCTCTGAGGTCTCCCGCTGGAAGCCAGGCAGAGCTGCAGCTGGCCAGCAGGTGGCAGTACCTGTCCACTGCTCCAGCCTCTCCAGGAGAATCCTGAACCCGCTGCATTGTTCTTGTCTGAGTCACCGAGTCACGCATGACGTCATCTGGGGCTTGCTTCCTTCCCCGGTATGTTTCCGACAGCCAGAGAGGCTGGGGCACCTGCTTAGCTGCCCATCCACAGCTGAGGAGATTTCCTCTTTGCACATTAAAAAAAAAAGCACCACCTTGGGCCAACAGCCTCCCGTGTGTCTCAAATTATTTTCTTAGGACTGATTCCAAGAAGAAAAGCGATGATCCCAGCGAATGAGCCGTAGCCATCAATTGGCCTTTGTCCTACCCTCCGCCGCCCCTGAATTAAGATCCGAGCCGTGCTGTCAAGGGAACCTGGCTTTTAAGCCTGCCTCAGCCCCTTCGGCAAAAACGATCATTTCACTTACTTTTACTGCAACTTAGAACTACTCGCTGGAAGATGGGCATGGTGGTGCCCATCTGTAATCCAGCACTGGGGAGGTGGAGGGTGGGGATTTCAAGGTCATTCTCAGCTACATAGAGTTTAAAGCCATCTTGGGATACAGAAGACTCTGTCTCAAAAAATCCAAACTCAGCTGGGTTTGGTCTGCTCGCCTTTCGATATCTTTTTATTTATTATTTTTATTTTATGTGTATGACTTTATTGCCTACTTGTATGTAAGGACATCAGGTCATGCAATGCCCTCTGAGATCAGAAGAGACCATCTGATCCCCTGGAGTTAGGGATGGTTGTTAGCCAACATGTGGGTGCCAGGAATGAACCCAGGTCCTCTGCAAGAGCAGTCAGTGCTCTTAACTGCTGAGTCATAGCCTTTGATCCCAGAACTTTTGGTCTTTTTTTTGAGATGGGGGTCTCCCTAGAGCCCCAGCTGGCCTGGAACTCACTCTGTAGACCATGCTGGTCTCAAACTCAGAGGTCCACCCGCCTCTGCCTCCTGAGTGCTGGTATTAAAGGCCTGTGCCAACACCACCCTCGGACACTGCCCGTTCCCCCCACCAGGGAGCCTGCAGTGAGGTCAGGCTGTTATCCTGAGCCGGTTCCTACCAGCCTCTCCCTGCTCTGCTCTTCCCTGCCAGAGAAACTCGGGTACTATCCTGTCACTGAATCCCCGCTGGACTGAAAAGTAGCAGCATACCTTCTCCACGCCATTTACACCGTGGCTGGGCAGGGCCTCCTGCACACCGTCCATGCTCTCCCTGGCGTTTCCTCCATCCCACCTCCAGCTCTTTCCCTGACACCATTCCTAAACACCTTCTCCTCATCTCTTAACAGAAGTGACTCAGTGACTCAGATTTGGTGTGCAGTTCCCTTCTCTCTAAGAAGCCATCTCCCCAACTCTATGAACACTGACAGCACCTCTTGGAAGTCTCCTAGAAATCTAAACTAATTGTCCAAACTCAACTCCTGATCTTTTGTCCACTCCCCCCTCCCATTGCCTGTAGTTGATAGATGACTCCCCCCATCCAGGGGTCCAGGCCAAGATTCCTGACGCCATCTTTGACTCTTCTCTGTCCCTCTTGCTTCACACTCAATCCTCAAGAAGGCGCACTCAGCCAGCCTTCTTTTTGTTTTGTTTTCCGATCAGCCTGGAACGAGATGGGACTTGGCCTCGAGCTTACAGAGATCCACCTGCCTCCTGAGAATTGTAAGCTGCCAGGTGGGTGCTGGGAACAGAACCCAGGTCCCTTTGCAAGCTCAACCAGTGCTCTTAACTGCTGAGACATCTCTTCAGCTCCCTCAGATTTTTTTAAGTGAAGTTTACTGATTACATTTGTGTGTGATGTGCGTGCACGTGGTGTATGTGGTGTCTGTACACACGCGTGAAGACCAGAGTACGGCATCTCTGTCTGATGTTCTTCTCCACCTCCTCTTGAGACAGGGTCTCTCACTAAACCTGAAGTTTGGTGTTTCAAGGAGGCTGACTCACCAGCGAGCTCCCAGAACCTGGGTGTCCTCACCCCTGGTGCTGGGCTATGGTCACGCAGAGCAATGATGGGCTTTTACATGGGTGCTGGTGACTTGAACTCAGGTCCTCTTGCTTTCAGAGCAAGCACTGTGACTCCTGAGCCATCTCCCCGGCCCCAGGGTAGCCCATCAGCCAGCCTTCTGAGGCCTCACATCTCTCCACACATCCCATGCCTCCCTCCCTGAGCACTATCACCTTTGGCCTGGATAACAACAAAAACTAAAAATCCTGTAATCCCAGCATTCAGGAGGCTGAGCCAAGAGGTTCACAAATTGGAGGCCAGCCCAAGCTAGATCACGAGACTCTGTTGCACGTGTAAGCATGCATGTGGAGGTCCAAGGTTGACGTCGGATATTTTCCTGCTTTGCTCCCCCTATTATACATTGAGGCAGGGTCTCACTGAACCTGGAGCTGGTTTGGTTAGTCTGGTTAGCCAGCTCGTTCCAGGGATTCCATCTCTGCCTCCTGCGCACTGACATTACAGACACCTATCACGCCCACCCAGCTTTAATGTGGGTTCTGGGGATCTGAAGTCCAGTCCTCACACTTGTCAGCAAGCGCTTTACCCACTGAGCCTTCTCTGCAGCCCCTCAAGAAAAACAATTCTTTATGACTTCCCAAGATATTGCTTTCTTCCAATTTTTCTCTCTAACAATATTGAGTATTCTCAAAGAATCATCTTTAATGGCCTTTTTCAAAATGTCGTATCTGGAATATATAAAGAACACTTAGAACTCAACAACAAAAAGACTAACAATTCAATTTAAAAATGAAAAAAAAATGACTCAGGCATCTCCCCAGAGTGACAGACAAGTGGCCAACAAGCACAGAGAGTCAACAGCAGTAGTTACCAAGGGAAAACAGACCAAAGCCTCAGTGGGGTGCAGCGAGTACAGACCAAAGCCTCAGTCAGATTCCAGGTCCACCACAAAAAGGGCAAAAGTTTTAAAATGAAATAAGGTACAGGTGGTGTTGGGCTAGGCATAACGGTGCACACCATAATCCCAGAATTGGGGAGGCTGAGGCAGGAGCATCACCTTGAGTTTCAGGCCAGCCTGGGCTACATATAAAGCTATCTTTTACAGCCCAGCATGGTGGCACATGCCTTTTAAATCCCAGCACTTGGGAGGCAGAGGCAGGCAGATCTCTGTGAGATGGAGGCCAGCCTGGGATCTACATAGCCAGTTTCAGACCAGCGAAGACTACACAGTGAGACCCCGTCTAAAAACAAAACAGCTGGGCTTGGTGGCACACACCTTTAATCTCAGCACACAGGAGGCAGAGGCAGGGGGATCTCTGTGTGAGTTCCAGGACAGCTGGGGCTACAAGGAGACCCTGTCTCAAAAAAACCAAATAAAAAAATTTAAAAATAAATAAATAAATAAAAACAAAACACTAAATATTTGGGTGGAGGAAACCCCAGATAGAGACTAGGAATATAGCTCAGTTAGTATAGTGCATGTTTGCCTAGCATGCAGGAACCCTTGGGTTCCATTCCCAGCACCCCATAATCCCAGCACTCAGGAGGTGGAGGCAGAAGATCAGGAGTTCAAGGACATTCTCAGCTACACAGCAAGTAGGAAACCCCCATCAAAACAACAAACCACACCCAACCGAATAGATCAGGTATTGGGCTGGGAGTATTATTCAGAGAAGTTGTCTAGCATGTACAAGGCCCCGGGTCCCACCACTATCAGCACACACACCACACACACACACACACACACACACACACACACACACACACACACACACACACACGCAGTGGGGACAAGGATACAGAGAAATCTGAACACTTGTACTTGCTGTGGGTGTATCAGATGGCTTATCCACAGTGAAAACGGTTGGGTGGCAGCTCAGGTGGAGAGTGTTTTCCAAGCACACACAGGCTCTGACTTCAATGTCCAATGCTAGAGAGAGAGAAAATGTGGATGTTAGTTAAACAGAATTGCCACATGGCCACATCAGTTTCACGCCTAGGTAAACACACAAGAAAACCAAACAGTGGTGTTTAAGTAGGTGTCTGTCCCAGATGTTCATAGCGGCACCGTTACAACAGCCAGAAAGTTGAAACGACGTCAATTCCATTGGTAGATAAATGGAAAGACAAGGTGTGCAAGATGCCTACAATAGCTCATCATCACTCAGTCATAGAAATGGATGGGGCTGGAGAGATGGCTTAGAGGTTAAGACCACTGGCTGCTTTGGCAGAGGCTGGGTTCAATTCCTAGCACCTACATGGTGGCTAACATCCATAATTCCAGTTCCAGGGGATCTGACGCCCTCTTCTGACCTCTGTGGGCACTGCACAGCATGGATGCACTTACAGACATGCAGGCAATACCCTCATGCACATAAAATAAAGATAATAAATAAAATATAAAATATTAAAAACAAAAGAATTGATGAGGTGCCTACACATGTGGACAGACTCAGAAGTACGCTAAGTGAACAAGACCAGGCCCCAAAGGCTTCATAATATAGGATTCCACAATATGAAATATTCAAAATAGGTAAAAATCCATAGGGACAGAAAACAAACAGCTGGTGTGGTAGGGTAGGGTAGGAGTGCACCCTTGTAATCACAACACTTGGAAGGGAAAAGCAGGAGGATCAGGAGTTCAAGGTCATCCTCAGCTACGTACTGTGGTAATGACTTCTACAAAATGGATATACTCTGGACAGAGAACTTTTACCTAACCTTGCAAGCAAAAAAGTTAATCTTACAGTTTGTAAAAAAGTCCAGAGTCATGTGCTCCTCTTGTGACCTGAGCACATGACCTTAGTCCTACCCAAGATAGACAGTGCATGGCTGTGTGCATGCATGCTTTACATATCAAAGCACCAAATCCCTGAGAACAATGAGATTGTTTGTAGTTGAGTGTGTGGTGTTCTTACTTCCCCATTTCATGCTGGAGATCCTGCTTCAATGAAGAGCGAGGGAAGCCCTTGCTCAGGAGCACAGTTCCCAGAGACATCTGAAGGGACAGGTGCACAGGCATTCAGGTCCATCTTGGCTTTAAAATGGATGTTAAGGGGCTGGAGAGATGGCTCAGCAGTTAAGAACACTGGTTGTTCTTGCAGAAGACCCTGGTTTGAATCCCAGCACCCACCTGGCAGCTAACAACTGTCCATAGCTCCAGTTCCAGGGGATCTGGCAGCCACTTCTGACCTCCTCAGGCATTGCATGACACGGGTGCACACGTGTGCATACAGGCAATGCATGCATACACATAAAATAAAAATAATAAATAAAAAAATTTAAAAAACGGATGTTAAGAGTCAGACTTTTTTTACTTTTTTATTAAGGCATAGCTGTAATATGGCTTAAATGTTGAAATATACTAGTTCGTGGTCAGCCTGGAACACAACAGACTCTGTCTCAAAAAGTCATAAATGGGGAGGGAGGAGGAGAGGAAGTAGAAGAGGAGGAAGAGGAGAGGGAGAGAGGAAGGGAAGGGAGGAGGAGGAAGGGGAGAGAAGAGGACAAAGAGGAGAAAGAAAATTGATGATTGGCAGGGACAGGCTGGGGAGGATGAGGATTGGCTCCCAAGGGCGTATGGGGCTTTTTTTCATAGTGACAAAATGACTCAGAGTTAGACGCAGTTCGCACAGTGTTGCTGAGGTACTAGAAGCCTCGTCCTGCTGTTGCCCGCCACCCTGTGACATCTTCCCAATGACTCAGAGTAAGAGACAAAGCCCCTCCATGACCCCCAGGCCTTGCATGAGTTGGTCCCTCCAGGTCTCTGCCCTTAGCTCTCTCTATTCCCCCCATACTCCTGTGGTACTGCAGCCCTGTCCCACCCCATCCCACTGAGGTTTCCTTGGACTGCCCTCCTCCTCAGTTCTGCTAACGTTGTTAATTTTTGGAAAATAAAAGGAAAGCTAGAGGAGTAGGAGACAAGCAGCCAGAGCCAGACCTGCAACAGGCAAGGAATAGATCTTCCTTTATTCAGAGAAGATACAGTGAGAGGTAGAGGCTGACCATGGGAACCAAGCATCTACATCCAGACAAAGAGAACAGGGTTTTATACCAGGGTTGTGGGACACCACTGCACTTAGTGAGGAGTTGAGTTAGTGCCTGGGCTTGGTGTCCTTGGAGTGATTGAGGATCTCCTTCTTGAGATTATTTACCCAGGAACTGGCAAGAGTGTTATCTATGGCCTTAGAGGACAGATGTGGGCTCCACAAACACTTTCTCTCAGCTTGGGAGTGACCAACTGATAAGGGGTGAGCAGAGCCAGGCTTGAGCAAGGCCAGGCTGCCAATTTAGGGCCAGCCAGTTAGATACTTTAAGGGAGTTATGGCTTTCCCTAACAAGGCTTGTGGCTCGTATGCAATTCACAATTCACACCTTCTATCAAACGTCCTCATCGCCTCACTGTCTTGTGCAAATCTCTATCACTGCTAGACACCCTACAGAGTTCTGCAACTGTCACCAGTGCCTGTCACCCAGCTCCTGTCACCTGCTCACATGTCATCATACAGTTATGGTCTATCTATCTCCCCTGACCTAGGATGCACACTCTACAAGGGCAGAGATACTGGTTTAGTGATAAATCTCCTGAAATAAGGCCTGGTACATAGTAGGTGGGTGAATAAATAAATATCTAATCGATGAATTGTGGAGCTATGGCATTGCAATGAAAAGGCACACCACACAAGTGAGATGGCCCAGTGAGTAAAGGCGCTTGCTGCCACGCTCAGTGACCCGAGTTCTATTCCTGAGACACTCATGGTGGAAGGAAAGAACTGACTCCCACAAGCTGTCCTCTAACCTCTGTACTGCACAGAACATTGTGGCATGCATGTGCAAGTTTGCACACACACACATAATTAAAGTAGGAGGAGGCATACAAGAGTGTCTGGTTCATGGAAAGTGCTCAGTAAATGAATCACAGCTGCTATTCTCTCATTTTGGGGGTCAGGGGAGGAGGGTTGAGACAGGATCTCACTATGTAGACCAGGCTGGCTTTGAACTCACAGAGATCCACCCGCCTCTGTCTCTCCAGTGCTGGGATTAAAGACATGTGCCACCATACCCGGCCTCCTATTTTTAATTTTAATTTTTTGTTTATGTTTTGGTTTTTGGTTTGGGGGACAGGGTCTCCTTCTAGCCTGGAGCTCCTTATGTAGACCAGGCTGGTCTCAGTCTCACAGAGATCTGCCAGCCTCAGCCTCTGCCTCTGCCTCCCAAGTGCTGGGATTAAAGGCATGCTACATTTTTTTTTTAATGTGTATGAGTGTATTGCCTGCATGCATATAAGTGCACCCATGTCATGCCTGGATCTGGAGTTAGGGACAATTGTTAGCCGCCATGGGGGTGCTTGCTGGGAATTGAACCTGGGTCTTCTACAAGAGTAGTCAGTGCTCTTAAACACTGAGCCATCTCTCCAACCCATAAAGGTGTGCTACTTTTAATTTTTATTTATATATTTGGCTTTCTGAGACAGTCTCGCGTAACCAAAGTTGTCCTCAAACTTGGATGTAGCTGAGGATAACCTTGAATTTCTGATCCTCCCACCACAGCCTCCATATCCTGAGTGCTGAGATTACAGGCATGCACCACCAAGTCAAGTTTTATGCGGGCTTCATGCATGGCAATCGCTCTACCAACTGAGCCACACCCCCTGCCCATTACTGCAGGGTTTTACAACAGTCTCCTGTATCTCAGGCTGACCTTGAAGTTGACAGGAAGGCAAGGATGAGCTTGAATTCTTGATCCTCCTGCCTCAGCCTCCCAGTGCTGGGATTACAGGTATGAGTCACACAGTTCTGCACGTCTCTGGTTCTCACTGGACATCATTCTCAATCCAAGGTCTAGGCAGGCTACACCTGCTGTTGCCACCACAGCCCTCCTGGGTTTCACTATCACAGCTTTCTGGAACGAGCTAACTGTCTTCCAGGAGTGGAAGCTTGGGGAGGACAGGGTGAGGTTACTCTTCCTTTTGCTCACTGTGGTCTGGCATGCAGGACGTGCTCCATCAATGATCCCTGAATGAAATGAAAGACAGAGGATATGCTTTCCAGTCAAATCTTGCACAGGGCTTAGAACTCTGAACTAGTGACAGATTTCAGGGACGATGCTTTAAAATGTGTTTTAACTTGCATTAAAATTTTTATTATTTTTATTTTATGAGTGTTTTGCCTGCATACAAGTGCACCTGTGTTGCGAGATGCCCAAAGAAGCCAGAAGCGGGCTTCAGATCCCCTGGAACTGGAGTTATAGACAGCTGTTAGCTGCCAGGTGGTGCTGGGAACTGAACCTGGGTCCTCTGGGAGAGCAGCCAGTGCTCTTCACTGCTGAACAGTCTCTCCAGCCCCTTTTAATTACATTTTATTTATTTATTTATTTATTTTGTGTATTCATGCAAGGGAGGGGCTCTAGTCACAGCACACATGTATAGGTCAGAGGACAACTTGTTGGAGTCAGTTCTCTCCTTCCACCACATGGGGCAGCCGGGATTGAGCTCAGGTCGTCGGGTTTCACAGCAAATATCTTTACTCACGGAGCCACTCACTGGACCCTGAGCTTGAAATTGTTGTGGTCTCGGAGACGGGACCCAGTCAGTCTCAGAGACAGAGATGCAGCAAGGTAAAGATTCTTTTACGGTTGCAATCGGCCAAACTCACACTCCACAGGAACAGGAGATCAGCGGCGCGAGTTAAAACAGCATAGTCCTTTTATAGGCCGTCTATGATCTGCACGCAAGCAAGCTCAGAACAAAGCAGAAATATGAGGTTAGCAATTTAGCAAGACTTACACAAACTTTACAGCATAATAGGAAGTCGAGAAAAATCTTATCGATAAAATTTCTTGACACTACGGTCAGCTAGTTTCGAGAAACCCATTTTACAAGTCAAGTTTGCTGATTTTTAAAAATACCCTTTCTGATAGAATAAGAATATGAATCTTACTTCAAAGGAATTAAACATTAAACCCCAGAAAAAAAAAAAAAACCCTTTACCTCAGCTGAAAAAGTTAGACTGATGATTCAACTCGTATCAAAAATATTGAAGGGAGAAAAAACAGAGAAATTACAGAAGTCAGACGAGGTCAGCAAGGCGCCAGCCTCTAACAAAAATAAAGCTCTGAGAAGAGCAATTGCCAATCACAGCAGCTCAGTGTCTGACCTGGGACCACCCAGGAGCCGACTCTGTGAAAGTCAGGCCCGGTTCCTAAGGATTCCCGAAGAATTTGTAGCTTTCCCCCCAGACACACCTTGATGACAACTTCTGACCTCCAAGACTGCTGCCCTTCCTCCTGGATGCACTCCCCGAGGCCAAGCGACCCTCCCTGAGTCACCAGCCCAAGTTCGAATTCCCCGACCCTACAATCTGCTAGCTGTGTGTCCTTGGCCCAGGCACGCCTCCCCTGGGCTCTCCTTTCCTGCAAAGTGCCCGGGTGGGGCTGGGGAGGCCTGGGATCCGATCAAGGTGCTCAGTCTCACCTTTGGCAGGCCTCACTTTTCTACTCCACAAAGTTTGGTGAGTGGCAGGAATGTGAGGGGGAGGGTCCAAAACCGGACGCTTACTGGACTTGTAATTGCCCAAGGCCCCTACCCTCTGCAGGTGTCAGGTCTGGGGCAGAACTGACCAAGGCAGGAGGTGACAGGTTCTCCCTCCCCCGCGCCCATCCCCCGCAGCTGGTGACGCTCAGATTCCAAAAGCGGAGGACCTGGGGTGGGGGCGGGGCGGGGCGGGGCCAGGCGGCGGGCGAGTCCGATTGGCCCCTGCGCGCCACGTGGCCCCAGGGTCCCGGTGCGCCCCTGCGCTGCGGCGGCTGCTCAGCTAACGGGCTGCCCGCTGCGCTCCCTCCCTCCCTCCGTGTGTCGGCGCTCCCCGCAGGCCTCCCCCGGTAGGTGAGTGTGCTGAGTCGCTTCAGGGCACCCTGTCCCAGGGATGCGGGGACGGGCACCCCACGGCGGGTGGGAGGAGAGGGTGGGCGCCCTGCCCCCCGGTGGGTGCGGGCGTGGGCGTGCGCTGCGGGAGCGGAGGAGGGCGCGGCCATCCCGGGGTGGTGCAGCCGGTGTGTCCCGGGAGCTGATCCGGGGTGCAGGAGCGCGGTGACAGCGCCTCTGAGGCGGGGGGGGGGCTGGGGGAGCCCCGACGAGGGTGTGGCGCGAGGCCGCGGGCGTGCTGCTGCGCCGCCCGAACTGGGGCGGGGGAGAAGATACTTGGAAGGTCTCGGGGACGGGGAACTAGGGACCCTCCGGGAATGCTGGAGGAGTTGCCCAACTTTAGGAATCTGAGGAGTGGAACTCTCTGCTGCACACCAGATGGCATGGAGAGGGACTCTCTGTTGCCCAGCGTAGAAGGACCGGGTGACCATCCCGGTCAGGGCTCTGGTATACCCGGCTCCCTGTTGGGCAGATGCCTACCTGTCAGGGAGCATCTGCAGGCTCTTAGAGGGATGCGCAGGCCCCGCTCTTTCTTCTGCTTTTTAAGCTCACCCCTGTGTCGTCCCAAAGTTCAGCGGACCTCAGGTGCCAACCAGATTATCCCCGAATCCAGATCCCAACCACCCACTTGCAGTGTGACCTTGAGTCGGTGGCTTTCCTACTCTGAGCCTCCTTCTTCCTAGTGCAGATAAATTCAGCCCCTTTGAGAGGAAACTGGCTGGGAAAGTGGGTCAATTGAAAATCTTGAGTATAAATTTGGGATGCCTGGGCCACCTGGATAGGAAGGGAAAAGAGAAAGGGCCCCTTGGGAGGGGGACTCGGGCCTCCACTTCCTCCCTCCTTCCTCTTCTTTTTGTCTAAACTCTGGTGGGGCTTCCCAGACAATTCCAAATTTGGTCATATGGCTCCTGGGTTTGTGAAAGATTCCTGGTGTCGTGACCCCCCCCCCCAAGAATCCGCTCCCCTTTTCTCCCACCTCTTCCCTCCTGCCCAGAGCACACCTCGAGGCCACTGTCCCCACCCCAGTCTGCTTAGCCAGATTTCCTAGCCCTTCTGAGCTGGTCCACTGTGTCTCAGCCCCTGTGCATCCTGACCTAGCCAGCCAGCCTGAAACCTTTCAGAAGACCCTGGTCCCCAGTTCTAGGGCCTGGGCTACAGTTCCAGCCTGGCTGGGGTCCTTGGACATGCCTCTTCTCTCTAGGCCCTTGTCCCCTATAAGCAGTGTGTTGAGATGGCTGCCACTTCCGGTGCTGGGCTTCTCCAACGGTTTTCAAATCCAGGATTCTGGGAGTTGGGTGGGGCTGGGCAAGGAGGGAGGCCTTCATCCCTACACCAGCTGTGACTGTCGCTCACCCATGTCCCTTTACTTCCTGTCTTTTGTTCCCAAACCTCCATCTGCTGGGACACAAACCCGTTTGTGGTTTCTGGGTAGGGGATGCAGCTGTTGCTGGGCAGACATGGATCTACCCTGGGAAGGGAGATGCTGGGATGGGGGTGGGGGTGAGGACTGCAGCACTGGAGGGTAGCCAACGATCAAACATCTGCACTGCAGCACCCAGAGGAGCCCAGAGACACCAGGCCCAGCCCCACCCATCTCAGCTCCACCACCCACCTTTACCCCTTCCCCTCTAGAAAGGTGAGACCTGTGCCCAGGAACCGAGCTGGTAAAGGAGATTGGTCTGCATGGTTCTTATGGTGCCATTCTAACACCAGTGGTGGCCCAGTGCACCCCTAGCCAGCTTCAAGAGACTTCCTGGGTGGGGTCAAAGCCCATGATGTGGTTTCTACAGATTCCCCCTATAGTGGACCGGAAGTGGGGGTTTTATCCTAGCTTGCACAATTCTTGGCTTTGAATCCAACCACTTCGATTTGCATTCTACTTTCCATTTACATTTGGAATTTCCTTTCCTACTGGGCTGAGCTCCCACCGGGCTCTTGGGGACTGTCCATAGCTGGGTTCTGTGAGCCCAGATCCACACCCCCCCCATCATCAAAGGAGGTTGAGACTGATGCCTTCACACAGTGACAAGCTGGCAGGTAGGAAAGTGCTTTGTAAACTGTAGAGCGCTCGGTGCAGAGGAGCGAGTGCTGCCTTTGTAACCGCAGAAGGGTGTGGTACCCCAGGAGGCCAGGCCACCTGAGCCCAGATTCCTCTTTCTTAGACTGATGTCCCTGATGCTCCTTAAGTAGAACCATAAGGCAGTCACCACTATCACCATTGAACCCTTGCAACTGAAGGCCCTAGGGAAGGAACCCTTGCTGTGGTAGACACTGGTATTAGCCCACTGCACTGTGAGACACTCCAGCCCTCAGAGGTAAGGAAAAAGTGGCTAGAGATGTAGCTCGCTGGCCTTGCATTCTGGAAGCCGTGGGCTCCATCCGCAACAGGGGATGAACTGGGTGTAATGGCACATGCCTGCCACCCCAGCACTTGGAGGTGGGCCCTCCTCCATCACATACAAAGTTGGAGGTCAACCTGGGATGCACGAGGCTCTGTCTCAAAAGAAACACAAAAAAGTAAGCAAAAGTAACAGCTATTAAGCTCTAGTGAGCACTTCCTGTGTGCTGGGTCCACTCAGCTTGTCTTGATTCTTTTCACCTTCACCATAACTTTTTTTTTTTTTTTTTCAGCTGTCCTGGAACTCACTATGTAGACCAGGTTGGCCTTGAACTCACAGAGATCCACCTGCCTCTGCCTCCCGAGTGCTGGGATTAAAGGCGTGTGCCACCACACCTGGCCTCACCATAACATTTTTTAAGACACTGTGTAGCCTAGCCTTAACTGGCCTGGAACTCACTATGTAGAGGACCAGACTGGCCTGGAACTCATAGAGATTTGCCTGGCTCAGCGTCCTGGGTGCTGAGATTAAATGTGTATACTACCACCATAACTTTTTTTTGTTGTTGTTGTTGTTGTTGTTGTTTTGGTTTTTTGAAACAGGGTCTCCCTGTAGCCCCAGATGCCGTGTAACTCTCTATGTATACCAGACTGGCTTCTGTCCCACAGAGATCAGCCTGCCTCTGCCTCCTGAGTTGCTGGGACAAAAGACATGAGCCACCACGCCCAGCTCACCATAACCTTAAGAGAGCTGTTTTTTTATTTTTTATTTTTTGTCTTTTTTTTCGGTCTTTTTGAGACTGGGTCTCCCTGTAGCCCCAGCTGGCCTGGAACTCACTATGTAGACCAGGCTGGCCTCAAACTCACAGAGATCTGTCTGCCTCTGCCTCCTGAGTGCTGGAATTAAAAGCATGTGCCACCACGCCCAGCTGGGGCTGTTTTTAAAGATAATTTGTAATGTATATCTGTTTGTGATATGTGTGTGTATATATGCATATATATATATGGTGTCCTGGTATGCATCATGTAAAGGACAACTTGTGTGTCTGGGGATGGAACTCAGGTTATCAGGGTGATCCACAGGTGCCATAATCCACTGAACCATCTCTTTGGTTCTGGACCAGAAGCTCCTATTTTTATCCCCTTTTCCCTATGAGACAGCTGCCTAAAGGCACTTGCCCAGGGCCGTACAGCATTTTTTTTCTTTTCTTGAAAAAAACAACAACAAAACTTTGTATAATGTGTGCGTTTGTATGTGCACTTGTGTTTGTGAGTGTAGATACCTGTGTGCTATTGTGCCTGTGTGTAGGTCACAGGACAGCTTGGGTGTTGGTCCTCACCTCTCAACTTGTTTGAGACAGGGCCTCTCTTTGTGGTCCTCTGCTGCCATAGGCAGGCTGCCTGGCCCACGAGCTCTCAGGGATTCTCCTTTCTCTGCCTCCCATCTTTTAGGAGGCCTGGGATTATAGACATGGGCTACCAAGCCCAGCTTTATGTGAGTTCCAGGAATTTGAACTCAGGTCCTCGCACTTGTGTGGCAAGTACTTTACCTACTGTGCCATCTCCCCCGCCTACCACGCTATACTGGGTGCCTTTGGTCTCAGGAAGTCTGACTCCAGGGAGCACCTGAGATGCTAGACTTTGTGGCCAAAAGTAACCTGACTGGAGACTCCAACCCAGATCAGGCCATTTCTGACCCTGGGCAGCCAGACGACCTCCTGGGGCCTTGTCCAGCTAAGGATCAATGACTCTAGGTCAGGAGATGGAAGACACTGCTCTCTAAGAAACTTGAGTGCCTGGAACTGAGGGGGTGGGGGCAGGCCCAGTGATGCATTTACCCTGCTCCATCAGCTGAGGAAGACCAGGAGTAGCTCCTGGCAGCTTCCTTCTGACTGGATGAAACCCATAAGAAAAGGAGAAAGAGAATGTTCTAGATTTATTTTTTTCTTGGTGCTGGAAGGAAACCCAAGGCCTCATGCATACTAGACAGATCATCTACTACTGAGCTGCATACTCAGCCTGAAAAGGATTTATGGAAGCCTCAGCCTTCAGAGTAAGGTAGACTCACCCCAGGAGGTACCCACGATTTTCTGAGGTACAAAAAGAAGCTTTTAGCCTCTGGTACTTTTAAAAGTTGTGTTGTTCTTCAACAGGGTCTCATGCATCCCAGACTGGCTCAGACCACTATGTAGCTAAAGATGACCTTGAACTTCTGATCCCCTGAATCCATCTCCTGAGCACTGGGATTACAGGCATGTACCACTATGCCCAGTTTTGTGCTGTGCCAGGGATCAAACCTAGGACATCATGCATGCTGGGCAAGCACTCTTACCTAGCAACTGAGCTGCATCCCCAGACTATAATACAGATTTTTTTCTATTCTATTTTTTTTTTTTTTTTTTTTTTTTTTTTTTAAAAAAAAAAAAAAAAAAAAAAAAAAAAAGAGGACGATAAATCTTTCACTGTGATATAGTCTTGAACTCAGAGATCCGCCTGCCTCTGCCTCCCAAGTGCTGGGATTAAAGGTGTGCACCACCACGCCTGGCTCTGTTCTATTTTTTATTTTTATTTTATGTGTATGAATATTTTGCCTGCATGTATGTAAGTGCACCATGTGTATGTA